GAACCAGAAGAATCATATGAATGTAACGAAAAAAATTTTAAGAAAAGAGAATTGCACTGAAGAAAATCTTAGAAATTAAATAAAATTAAAGCCCAAAATGCATATGGAAATGTAATAAAAGAAGTATTATACCTAACCTGATGGCTGTGTGATAGTCTACCGAAATTACTTTTATCAGGATTAAAGAGACATTTATTTACGGAAATATATAAAACAGCTACCATATTTGATATTTGCAAAATCATTAGATTTTTCAGTCCTAATTTACTCACACTCCAAAGATACTAGAGATTTAGCATTACAGTATGTCGTTTTTCCATTGTAAATTTTTTATTTATGTTGTTAGTTTTTTTTTACTAATGAAATAGAATTGGAGAGAAAATTTCTTCTGATGTCCCGACTGATATTAGTTGTTACTGTGTTTTTTCTAGGAAAGTTGCCAAATCTTTGTATTCCATAAACTGTCTAGAAATGTTTATTTTCTATAAACCATTCTAAAATTTCTTAAAACGAACAGGAGCTAAAGCAGCTGTTCTTTTCTCATTGCATATGAAATTATGTCTACTATATGACTTTCGAAATTAGTTTTTTATTGGTTGTTAATTTGCCTTTATAATTTCAAACCACCTGCCATAGAATAGACAACAACGATCCCAACAGAAAAAAGAAAAAGCGCACCACCCAATCGATTTACTAACATCTACTGTTTAGTATTTAAAGGAATATGTTTCCCACTCAATTACCTTATATCGTTTTTAGATTTTCTTAATTTACAAACATTCGGCGATATATTTCTTATTAATAAATTATCATATATTTTACATAACACTTTGATTTGATTCGCTAAAGCTTCTTTCAGTATTGCTCTTATTTGTGACTGAGTCTTAGCCAAATGTGCTTACATGTAATAATATTTTTTACATTATTAAATTTATCAGTAAGTATATCCAAATCTTTCATTCGTATAAACACAAATCCCACACTAAAATTTTTTTATTAGTTTCAGGATGAAAATCAAATAACAAATAAAAATATTCATTTTCTGTTACCTTTTTATATGCACCCATGAAAAAATTGAATTTTTCTGCAAAATTGTGATTACCCAAACTATTCACCTTACTCTTATAATGATTATTTTCAAATAAAATCAAACAATAACGTATATAAACTTATATCTCTCATAATCTTATTTTTGAAAAACAAATTTTGCATTATTAAAATCACATTTACATAACGATGAGATTTGGTCGTAAACAAAAATGCTGTTTTCAGATATAGTTTATGCATGAGATCATCAAATCCTATCTTTGCACGGAGACTGGTAAACCATACACAAATGTGATATTTTTTATTTTTTGAAAGTACTGTAAATGTACAGAGTAACAGCACAAAATCTTCATAATTAAAAGGAATTTAATAAATTTTGTTGTAAATATTGGATTTTTCAGAAAGTAATTTTGTTTTTTTTTATTAATAGGGAAATTAGATGTATTTTTACCAGCCAATTTCATTTTAATTAAACCACATTTTCATATATATTTTGGCAGCTAACATTTAAAGGCTTATTTGTTAAAAATTTTGTTTCATTCCGTAAAAATTTTTTCCGTTGTCTCATCAAATATAGAAAATCTATACCATAATTTTCGGTTTATTTTGCTTTTTTTTACCAAAAAATCGAAATGCTCTTCAAGCAAGAAAAAAACTTCTGGTACATTAATGGAGAAAATGTGTTGAGAAAAAGGCAATGCAAGACTACATTTCAGAATTTCGTTTTGGAAATTTCAATATTGAAAATGCACCATGTTCTGGGTGGCTAGTTGAAGCCAATGAAACAAAATGAAGGTACTGATTGAAGCAAACTGCCGAATAACAACACGTGAAATCGCTACGACATTAAAATTTCCACGTGTTTTTAAAGAGAGATGCTCTATTTGGTGGGATTTTAATAAAATTTTTTAAGCTTTTACCAGACAATTTAACAATTGACTCGAAAGTGTACTGCCGTCTAGTAAGCAAATTATCATCAAACAGAAAAAGCCACAATTGATCAACAAACAGGTGTAGTGTTTTACCACGATAATGCTAAATTACCCACAAGTTTGGTAACTCGTCAAAAAAATTTACTGCTTAGATGGGGTGTGCAATCACACAAAAAACCTTCAGATTATTACTTGTTCCAGTGTTTATAAAATGTTTTAAACTGCAAGATATTTACTTCATATAAAAATGTCAAAAATTACTTGGATTTATTTTTTGTAAGCAAACGCCAAAACTTTTATAAAAATGTAATCATGGTACTACCAGAAACGATGGCAACAGATATTTGACCGAAATGGTAAATATATAATTCAATAAAACATTTATTTATTATTAAAAAATAATGTTTTTTTTCCATTAAAAAAAAACGAAATTTTTTTCGAAAATCCCAATAATTTTTCACAATGTGGGTTTTTTCAGATTGTAATATTGCAATTACACAAGTACATGGATGTTTAAAATACATATCAATCAATGTTAGCTACTGTAAAAAATTTAGAAAATTTATATTTTAATCTTGGACTAATCTGCTTGAACATTGATAAATATTTTTTAATTTATATATATATATATATTGTTTTCATGTTCATCTGCTCATCGTTAAAACGAATTAGATAGTTTGTCATAGATTTCATTCTTTCATCCCAATCAAGAACTATAAAACCATTTTTTTCCTTTCAAATTTCATTTACTTTAAAGTAGCGCAAGACAACTAGAAATTGTATGAAATATTGAACGAAAAGTTACTTGCAGCAAAAATGTAATAATGCACAGATTTGTACAAACGAAGAAAGAAAACAATTTATACATTTGGCGAAAAGTGATTACAAGTCCATACATCTCCATGATTGCAGCTTTAATATAAAAGACTATTTCTCTCTCCCTTTTTAAAAATGTAATTTATATGAAATGCCAACCAATCATGTTACTTAAGAAACTAAAAACCAATGGTGTTTCTTAAATCTAATAAAAAATCGTTTTTTGTTAAAATTATCTGCATCATGATAATTTGTAACGTTCTNTACAAAATATATGAATACTTGAATTAAAATCATTCAAAATTTAACGCATGTTTATCCTTTATGAGAAACAAAAACACATACGAGGTTTATACTAGTTGATACGATAGAAAATTAAATAATTTTTGAGAAGTCGAAATTATATAATTTCCTTTAGTCAAAGTAAAATATAATTTAAACTGTATCGAAGCTGTAAATTACATTCATATACTTAAAATATACACATTAAAGTGTATCTAACGCGAAAACGAAAGAAAAATACAATAGCTGTTTCCAAACCAGTTTATGTAGTAACCATAATTATTACTCTTATAAAAGATCTTATTTGTAATGGAAAACTAATTCTATTTAAAATATTTTTGAACTCCAAAAATATTTTTGTTGTTTCTTAATCATTAGTCTATTGCTAACTAATTTATAATAAATTTTGTTGTGTTATCAATGGGATTCACTTAAATGTTTTATGTACTCTAAAACACATAGAAAATACTAACTTTCTGTTATGTTTCAGGCAGAAAAGTTTGTAATTCTAGACAAGTTTGAAAATCATATTCTAGGAGGATGGAACTTTCATGTCTTTAAGGCAATGCAACAAAAATTACGATTTAGGTAAAGTTAAAGTACTGAAAAATTTTGCTAATGTTTTATTAATTAATATATTATTTACAGTTATTGTTTTCCTGTTTATGTCTTGTATAAATTAAGCAAAAATATGTAGGCAATGAAGGACCAGAAATATATACTGGATTCATTACTATTTCTCGTGGCTGCGATCCAATAATTAGTATTTGTCAATTTATTTCAAACCTGTTCAATGTTATATAAATAATAACACTTTGCAAATATTTATTATACATTTGATAACTTGTTAAAGTTTTCGGTGTGAAGAATTGGATGTACATACATGTAATCTCTACCACTTACTCGGCTACAGATCTGGAAAATCTGCCCAAAAAGTCATAGTATGGCTTTGATTAAAATGATGTTTTAGATCAAAGATAGTAAAATCCCGATCTACAGTCAGGATTCTTGACACCAGTTAAACTATTGTTTGAATTGAACTATATGAAATAGGGAATAAATGAATGTAGGATGACTTATTCCAGAAGTGGAGAGGACACGCGGGTTAGTGATAAGACTTGACATTGAACTGAGTTTAAAAGAGACCATATTTAATAAACAAGTTTTAATAACGGTTAACAGAGTAAATGCAGATATATGAAGATAATAACATGTTTTAACCTAATCACAAGACTAACGAAACTTATGTATTCCTTCCAAGAGAAAAAGTTTAAAGTATGACATAAATTTAGTACCTTATGACATAGTAAGTGAGTAGTCTTCAGAGATGTACATGATATGTTTAAAAATGTTAGAAGGCCGAACCTTACGGCAAAGCTTTTGAAAAGGGAGGATAAACAGTTTTAGAGGAAGTTAGAAAAGGGAAATAGTAAGGAATGATAGGAAAGTGTGAAGTAGGAACCGTGGCACTGTCGCGTTCCATTTATTGAGAATACTGTAGTTAGAACACACGGGGCATAACCCACAATTAACAGTATGGTGAAAATATATACAGAAAATAAGCCCCTGCACATGGTACTGCCTCTAGGGAGACGGGGTACAGCTACGGATGTGGGCAATTGACACAAGCTGCTGAAAATACCAACTTGAAATGTACCAGAGTACAAAAGCATAAAGTTACAAATGAGAAAAAAATAATATAATAAAACAAATAACTAAAAATTAACACTAAAAGACACCTGGCATCAAACTCGGCCAGGTTACAATGGGGAGCAACAATGCAAAAAACACCAGATTGCCAACTCAGCCATAATACAAGAGAATTCAACACAACACAAGAGTCCCCCAATAGCCAACACAAAAAGGACACAGTGGGAGTGGTAACAAGACTGGAATCCTCAAATACCAGTTCAGCCAGTTACAATGGGTGTTCTGAGTGAAGCAGAGAGCTGGGGTGCCTGGAGAATTCTAGAAGAAAGGTACTGTGACACCGGTGCTCATGATGAATTTCTTTGAAGCGTTTAATGTCTGTTTACTCATGAAAAAGTCATTTGAAGCACAGGGCCAATGGAGGCAAATCCTGTACAAAGTTTCAGTGAGGGTCTTTCTTAGTGTCTTAAACTTGGGGCACCTGAAGATTATGTGGTGGGATCTTAGTTTTCGTCCAAACCATAGTCACATATTTCGTCACTTTTATGGAGAAAAGGCACGGAAATTTCCATGCTCCATAAGGATTTGGGATAGGTGTAAATCAGGAGTGAAGTAGTCCATCTTTTGCCTACTGCAATTTTAGGCAAAAAATCATGGTTAGTTCTACCTATAGATTCGCTGTTTCATCTGGCTTGCCAGTCCGATATAGTAAGTTTTTTAAGTTTTTCATGAAGCCAACAGCTGGGGAGCTCTCCAAACAGTAGTTCCGTTGATGATCGTGCTGCCTTTTTTGCTAGAAGGTCAGCCCTCTTATTTTCCCTAATGCTAGAGTTGCCCTTAACCCATGTAAAAGAGACCTTAAAACTTTTCACAGATAGGAACTGGAGAAGGGTTACTGTTCGTGCAATGACGTTCGGTTTTGTGTTTAATTTGTGGACTTGCAGTAGGCTGTCTTTCTGTCACTAAGAATTTTCACATAAGTTTTATTTTTCTTGTTAAAATGATTGTCTACACACTGGAGAGCCTTGAGTATTGCAAGGCTCTCAGCTTGGTTAACTGTACGATGTCCTTCCAATTTTCCACTCATCTGCCAAATGTTTTGTTTCTTTTGTCCAATGATAACAGCATAACACCCTACCCCACTGGTGTCTTTGACCCATCCATATAGATTTTGAACCGTGACTGATTTTCTTGGGTAGCGATGTGAATATTGTATATACTATGCTGGCTGCAGGCAGGGTTTGTAATACTTGTGGGTGTAGTCTATATTGTCTCTTAACGCCTATTGTCGAGGTAACTCGTCAAGGTACGTAGCGTTACTTAAAATTCGGTAGTTAATGCTACTTTTGACAAAATTTTTTTTTTTTCAATTTGTGGGATGTTTTTTAGGTCTCCAAATTTTTTCAAAATTTTTTGTCCGCGCGAAAAAAATTTTATCGCGATTTTAATGAGCCTTTGATAAGGCTCAATTCAAGCTTGATTGTTTTTTAATGGGAGTTTTTTATCAAATTTATTTTATGGTTCNTAATTAATATATAATTATATGTACAGTACCTAATTTATGTATAATTTATATAATACTGTCCAGACGATAGAAATCTTTCTATAGCGTGGCGCTACGGACGGCGGGAAAGTAGTTCGGCTGCCCGATCACGTTTAACGTAATTATAGAGGTTTTTACTGTTTTTTACGGATACTGTCACAATTTTTTCGCAGTTTTATAGGAATCGTAATTATTGGGATCGTAATTATAAAGGGGTCGACTGTATGGTGTTTTATACCCCATTACCTTTTACAAATAGAGCACAGAGAATGGGCATGTTTAATACATTTATTCTTGAAATTCTAAATATGGGGATTTCAAGTGAGAGTGTTATCTATCAGGATCCCCAGAAATTTTATGTCATAACTTGACTGGCCATTGATTTTAATAGCTGGGTGCTTGTCTACGAATCTTTTCTTAAGAAAAACTATTGAGTTACATTTCTAAAAATTGATTTTAAGCTTGTTGTTTTCGGGCCATTTATTGACAAAAACCGTAGTAAACCGAGTATACTTTTTCTCTCCGAGAAGTCCCTCTTAGAGAAGATTTTCTCATCTCTTAATTTAACATCCAGAATAGTACATAGACGTTTCATTGGAAAGAAAAATCATTGTCACAACCTAGAATAAAAATTCTGGGTTAATTGTTCATTAACCTGAATCATTGTTCAACCTAAAATAGAAATTTTTATTTTTGTAGCTTTTCGCTTTTGACTTTCATATGTATAATTTTATAGTTGTTTATTTAAATGTGTTATTCTTGTTTAACCTGTGTAATTATTCGGAAACCTGTCGATGTACTCAATGACCCACCACACACATTTAGCTTTCCAAAAGCCATCTTCTGACAGAACTGCCGATAAACAGGTACAACTAACTTCTTCGGTTTTCACACATGGCATTTAATATCGCATATAATAATAAATGTATTGAAAGTTAATTAAAAATTTTAATGTATTACGATACACATAAGATGTCTAAAGTAAATTTAGCAATTATTTATATTTTATTGTTGTTTTTAATTGTAAATAACTGTATTAACTGATCGCGAGTATGGTGTTTCGAAGATATTTATATAACAGGTAATATGATTCCTGTTTCAGAAGTAAATTATATTATTACCAACCATTCTGTCAGATATTTATTTTAGGTGTAGCCTCTCATAAATCTCAAATATTTGGATACCATAACATGAGTTACAATACATTAATTACTGTATTCCCATAATTATGTACAATTTCTAGTTTGCATGACTAATATTACGATTATTTATTTCAACGCTTTGGATTCTTATAAGAAAGATACAAAAATTACAAACATTATGTTTCTGTAAGGATAAGTGAAAGTATAAAAATTAGGACAATGGTAAAGTTGTTTGTAAAATATTTTAAAAAATACGTGTCGGTCATAGTCATCCTACTCTAAACCCTTGTTTTCCCCAGACGTGTATGAGAATGTTTCGAGAAATCGAACTCCAGCTGTGTTCAAGGTCATCCAGCTGTGTAAACAATGACTCATCTGTGTTAAATTTCACAAAAAGGCAAGAGAAAGGAAAATAAAATTTGAAGCTTTTTCTTCAAAATTAACGCATTTTTTCGTTTTTTTTAGTTTTAAGTATTTTTTATGCTTGATTACATCATAATTAAAAACAGTCGGGCATTAAGGGTGATATACTCGGCTATGTTCTTAATTCTTATAGCAAAGTCAATTTCTTTATGGAAACCACTAGGATTTCTACTAAGGTGAAACTTCCAGTATATTCCCAGGATTTTGAGATGTAAGGAAGGTAAGTTTGCCAGTACCTGGACTGCATTGGTAGGTGTTGTTCTTTAGGCTCTTCCTACAGTTAGAAAACATACTCGTTGAATGGATGAGATGTTTCTTTCAGTCTCTTCTTTGCTGGCTGACTTTCCCCATACCTCAGCCCTATTAAAAACCACCGGTTCAATAGCACACTCGTAGATTGTTCTGATAGTACAGTCGACTCCCCTATAAAATCATAGATACGTTCCATTTTTTAGGAATCCGATTTCTTACGAGTCGTTCCAATCACAGCCTGACACGTGTAAAGTTTACGGACTACGGCTGATTAAAAGGTTTTTTTTCCATAAAATTAATCGATTCTAGACTAACCGACTCAACATTTTTAAAATACGTATGTATTTTTTGAAAATAATCTGTATAAACTACGCTATAAACAAAAAATTGTAGGATTACTTACCGAGTATGCACCATTCAACAACCCCATTGCTAAAGCTTGTTTTCGTCGCGAAGCAGCACACCAAACCACGGCCGATTTCCGATAACTTATTGTTCTGCGAAAACTTCGTAGAACTTCGGAGACATCATTAATATAAATAATTTTAATCGCCGTTGAATAAGAAATGTTTCTTTCACAACAAATGTATGAAATTACAGTACTGTATTAAACTTACGGTACCTAATTTACATACTGTACAGACGATAGTTAGCGTAAAAATCTCCGTAGCGTGGCGCCACGTTAGACGGCGGAAATTATATATTTAATTATAACAAAGTTACAATAAGTTAATATATAATTATATATACAGNGGGAGTTAAGGTAGGTAAGTTGAGTTTACAATACAGTATGTAAATTAGGTACCGTAAGTAAAATACAGCACTGCAATTTTATACATTTCTTGCAAAAGAGACATTTCTTATTCAACGGCCATAAAAATTATTTCTATTAATGATGTCTCCAAAGTTCAACGAATTTTTCGCAAAAAAATAACATATCAAAAATCGCGGCCGCCGTATGGTGCGTTGCTCCGCGACAAAAACAAGCTTAAGTAATGGCAACATCAAACGGTGCACACTCAATAAGAAATCCTACAATTTTTTTGTTTATAGCATAGTTTATACGGTTTATTCCCAAAAAATTATACGTGTTGTAAAAATGTTGAATCGAATTAGTCTAGAATCGATTAATATTATCAAAGAAAACCTTTCAAACAGCCGTAAGCCGTAAACTTAAAACGTGTCGGGCTGTGATTGGCTCATGTATTCAAGGATTCCTACAACGCGAAATTCGTATAAAGCGGAACGTATGTACCTCGTTATAGGGGGTCTACTGTTTCCCATATTCCGATTGACTCCAAAATTTCATGCTATCCTTTGATTTGATCTAAGAATTTTGAATGCAGCTCTTTATGATTGAAAACAATGCTTATTTAGGATCATGAAAATGATAAAATAATATGTTTTAATGCTTTTTAATTAGTTATTCTATAGTCAAACCAATAGATAAATCACCTGGAAATCGCCTTAAAAATGGTTCTTGGGATGGATTTATCAAGAAACTTGTAAATCAGGTAAGAAAATGATTTGTAAAATTTATTAGTGATTTATTAAAACATGACTTCGTCTTCCCATAGGAAGCAGATATGACTTACATCTCTTTTTCTGTTAATTCTGAGCGTTTCTCTGTAATTGATTTTTCTTCTCCCCTAAGTCTTCAAACTATAAACTTTGTGACAAGGTCTCCGAGAAAAACAATGAATTGGAGTTCTATCATAAAACCATTTTCTAAAGAGGTAACAAATAATTTGTAAAATAAATTATGATACACACTTCTTGTTAAATGTGATAACATCAAGAAAGTCATAAAAAATAATTATCATAACATGTACAGTAAAGCCTCGATTATCCGACTCCCGATTAACCGAACGTCTTAGTCGGCAAATTTGAAATGTCCGCTACAATATTTGATGCTACAATATTTGGCTATGTCTTGGTTACTTTAATATTATTTTTACGTGTTTTAGCTGGCAACACTAGATCGATCATGAAAGGGAGCCAGTATTTAAACGAGGCTTAATTTTATAATTTTTAACAATACAATAGCGACGATTATTATTTTTTAAAAAAATTTGATGGGCTTAACATGGAGGAAAATTCAACGCGATGTAACTTTATACAGATATACTAATATACTAATACTAATTATACAGGATATGATAATATACTACACTAATAATGGATTTTTTCATACTTTTCGGTTATCCGACTTTTTAATTATCTGACCAACCTCATCCCCAATCGAGTCTGATAATCGAGGTTCTACTGTACTTTAATGTCGAAATGTAAATTAAATAATTCATATCAAAGAACATATAGCAACAAACGCCAAAAAATGTAATCTAACTAATTACTGCGCTGTTCACAGGCAGTAATTAGTATGATAATATGTAATTAACGATGAGTAATAAAAATGCAAATTAACAATCATTATTTTTACATACTAATTTAATTAGAGAACATCGATATTATAATTGAAATCAATATTATAATCATTTTTAATAATGTTTAATAAATATTATTTAATTATTAATTATTCACATGTAATTTTCGAAAAATAATTTAAGAGTATTTGCCGCAAAATTAGTAGCTTTTTTAAGTGTACTTTCGAACACTGATTGCTAGTGTGGAAACTAAAATTGTAAAATCTTCTAAGTGCAAAGAAGATTCTACTGTTTTCAAACAAAAAACTTTTGAAAAATTTTATGTTTGCATGATCTAAGTATATTAAATATATAACGTATATCAAGCACATACTTTTTATAAAATTTTTATTTTACGAGTTTTTCTACAATAGTTGAAGAGTTGATGAACTTGTAAAATGAAAAACAAGTTTTTTTTTTTTTTTCAGAAATCTATAATCAGATTATTTGCTGATTGAAATTGCAAATTTTATGTTGATCTTAGATTTTTTGATAAAATACAGTAAAAATATAAAAACTACTATAGGTGTGGATCATTCTAGTATTAATTCTGCTTATGTTGGGATTCGTTTTGCACAAAGTCATTGAAAAAGATTTCAGAGCTGAAAAAATAAAAGTCAATTGGACAAGAAGACAAGTCTTCTGGAATCTGTTTTGCACTTTAATATATCAAGGTATGTTAATTTGTTAAATAAAATCAATTATTGCATGATTATATTTGATAAAGTAAAGTTTTTCCAGCAATTCCGTTGCATCTGTTAAGAAGATTCCCATCAAGATTTTTAATTGGAATCTGGTTACTATTGACTCTAGTTTTGATATCCAGTTACATCGGTACTATAATGTCTTTTATGTGTTCTCCTCTGATAGAAGATGTACCTAGAAATATTAATGAGTTAGCTGTTGCAATTACTAATGGTGACTATAATTGTGGAATATTAGGTAAATACAATCTATGGCAAATAATGCAGGTAAATATTACTGTTATAATCTTTATATCTTACATATGTGTTATGAGAAAAATGAATAATTTGTAATGCTCAGCTATTATGAATAATAATTAAAACATGCAACAGACTGAGAAAAATCGATTAATTTATTAAATTGACACGTCATTAAGAATAAAACTACATTTTCACTGCGAAATTTCATTTTTAAAATAAAATAACTTTACTGTCATGTTTCTGGTTATTATTTATACGTAACAAAGTAAAGTATTGAAATGGTGCCAAATTTGACTTTTCAAATACTTTGTTAATATTCATGTTTTGACAATTCATGAATCCAAAAAAGTCAAACAAAAAAAGACAAAAAAATTCCGTGGCTATGTGTTTTGGTGTGAGATGCTGCTTGGGTTGAAGGTTATGGCTCTAACTCCTTTTTGCAGTGTTTGGACCACTAAACATGTTTAACTTGTAACTGGATGGCTTTACTAACAATATGTCTTAAGATCAAAAGATCTTAAAACCGATTTTTTTTCTGACACCAGTTAAGAAATAACCCATCTTAACTCGCGATTTTATCTATATGGCTGAAACTGGGCATCTAATATCTAAATGGGAGGGCTAAACGAGCGGTAAAGTTATGTACATGTTGATAGTGTAATCTGATCTTGGAAGTAGTTACCTCGAAATCTTTTTGAACACAACAAAAAGTTTTACAATTTAACTAAATGATCGATTTCATATTTATAAATACTATAATGCAACACCCAATTGACCGAGAACTCCATGTAACAGCCTACTGTCCTGGGAGACCTGGGATCAAATACGGATAAGTAAATAATCGCCAAGAAAAATTTTAAGGGTTGCCTTGTCCCTAACCACCTGGCATGCCCGAACCCATAATGGGCTTGCAAAAGAGGCCTACTTAATTAATGTCCAAAGGGCAAAAAAAGTTTAAAAGCAAAACAATGCTACATATTAACAAAAACTACATATGTCTTTAACAATACTTCCAATGGGATATGATTGAATGAATTTTGTAAGTACTTATATGCTAACTGAATGAGAGAGAAAGTTTACATTAATCTATAATACCTTTTGTTGGGTAGACAGATGTCCTGCTGTAGTTCAGTCAGCTTTGGAGTAGTAGCAGGGAGTTTCTCTGAAGACTGGAAACTATTTTCAGAGGAAAGAGATAGTGTTAGAACAAGAAGGTTGAACAACTTTGTACACACTCTTTGGAAGGAGTGTCTGCCAAAATCGCATGTCTACTTCTTTTATTTTGTACTGGTATTCCCCTCTAATTGGGAGTGTAAAACTTTTTGTAAATTCTGTCTGGTAGCAATAATTATAACTACATACAGTCGACCCCCTATAAGACGGTAGATACGTAACAGAGATATAGTGTTGAAGGATGAGAACTTCAGGTTCGAAAGCACTCTAACTTCTACTGTGGATGAACAAGGAACTTCACTGACTAAGATTGAACATAATGGCATGATTAAATCAAAGCTGAAAGGGAGTTTAATCGTTGATGCAGTCAAACACGAAAAGAAAGTTCCAAGTTTCTTCAAACAACACATATTTGCAACATGGAATGTGAGAAGCATGTATGCTGGAAAACTAGACATAATTAAAAGTGAAATGACAAGAATAGGGATAGAAGTGTTAGGAGTCAGTGAGCTTAAATGGATAGGAATGGGACACTTTGATTCAAATGACTTTAGGATCTTCTATTCTGGACATGATAACTTAAGAAAAAATGGAGTGGCTCTAATTGTAAAAAAGAATTTAGTAAATTTTATTTTGGGTTATAAACCAGTTAGTGACAGAATCATAGTCTTGAGGATGCAGGGAAAACCAGTCAATCTGTCAATCATTCAAGTTTATGCTCCTACTACAGAAGCGACAGAAGAAGAAATTGAAGGGTTTTATGAAAAGCTTCAAGAAACAGTTAATAATTTACCAAAAAAAGATGCACTCTTTATTCTTGGTGACTGGAATGCAAAAGTAGGAAAAGAAGAGACTCCAGGACATGTTGGAAGATATGGTCTTGGGAAAAGAAATGATGCTGGGATACGACTAGTGGAATTCTGCATTTCAAATAACCTCTTTATTGCAAATACATATTTCCAATTACATAAACGAAGACTATATACATGGACATCACCAGATGGAAATTATAAAAATCAGATTGATTATATAATAGGTAGCAAGAGATGGAGGAATGCAATCAAATCAGCATGTACCAGACCGGGTGCTGACTGTGGGACTGATCATGAACTCCTTATATCAAAAATATCATTCCATTTGAAAGCTAAGAAAAAAGGAAGGGAAATAATGGGATGTTATGCTACAGATATCACCCCATCTTACATCTCAGAAATAAAAGAAGGTCTCAAAACAATTAATACATCAGGAAAGGAACCTGATGAAGTATGGGAGTCTTTAAAAAACACTATTAAACATACTGCTGATAAATGCATAGGAAAGAAGAAGAAGGAAAATAAGAAATCGCCTTGGCTGTCACACAAATCTTTAGAAATTGCAAACACTCGGAGACAAATGAAAATTATAGGAGATCGTCAAACAATTAAAAAATTAACTGCAGAGTTCCAAAGACAGGCTAGGAAGGATAAAGAAGAATATTTTAATAATAAATGCAAAGAAATTGAATTAAATAATGCGAAAGGACGTACAAGGGATCTCTTCAAAACAATTAAAGAGGTCGTTGGAAAATTTACCCCTAGGCTTGGTATTTTAAAGAACACACATGGAAAAGATCTAATGGAAGAAAGTGAAATAAAGAGAAGATGGAAAGAATATACAGAACAGCTTTATAAAGCAGATAATAATATAGAAGAAATAATTGAAGGAAGACATTTTACTTTGGAACCATCAATTTTGAAGGAAGAAGTGGAATGGGCAATCAACCAAATTTCAATTGGGAAAGCAGCAGGAACTGACGGAATTCCAGTGGAACTGCTCAAAGCAGCTGGAGAGGAAGGAATTAGAATACTAACAAAGCTATGCCAACAAATATGGGAAAAGAAGGTTTGGCCAAAGGAGTGGAAGCAATCCATTTTTATACCAATCCCAAAAAATGGCAATGCAAGAGAATGTTCCAACTATAGAACAATCGCACTAATTCCCCATGCAAGTAAGATTCTGTTTAAAATAATACAGAAGAGAATTGAGCCATATTTAGAAAGAGAATTGCCACTGGAACAGGCTGGATTTAGAAAGGGAAGAGGAACTTGCGATCAAATTAGCAACATCAGATGGATTCTAGAAAAGGCAAAAGAGTACCAGAAGGACGCCTTCTTTTGTTTTATAGACTATAGTAAAGCCTTCGATTGTGTGGATCACTCCAAGTTATGGAAAGTACTCAGGAGCATGGAAATTTCTGAACACCTTATATCTTTATTGATGAGTCTTTACAATGAACAAGAAGCAAAAGTAAGAACTCTATACGGAGAAACTGAATGCTTTAAAATTGAGAAAGGGGTGCGACAAGGCTGCATTTTGTCTCCATATCTGTTTAACTTATATAATGAATATATCATGAGAATGGTTACTACAAATGAAGAGTCCATTGGTATCAAGATTGGAGGCGAAACCATTAATAATATAAGATATGCAGATGATACCACCCTTTTGACAGAAAGCAAAGCAGATTTAGAAAAACTTATCATAAGGGTAAAAGAAGAAAGTGATAAATTTGGTTTGAAGCTAAATGTAAAGAAAACTAAAGTAATGTCAACTAAAGAGTTAAAAGATTTCATTGTGGATGGTGAAAGAATTGAAGTGGTAGAAAGTTACATACTTTTGGGCTCAAAGATAGAAAGGAATGAAAGTTGTGAAGGAGAAATCAGGAGGAGAATTAATCTTGGCAGAACAGCCATAACAAATCACACCAAGATAATGAAAGATAAAGACATTTCCATTCATACTAAGAAAAGAATTGTAGAAGCAATGGTTTTCCCTGTAACATTATATGGCTGTGAAAGCTGGACTCTAAGGAAAAAGGAAAGAAAAATGATAGATGCATTCGAATTATGGGTATGGAGAAGATTACTTAGAGTTCTATGGACAGAAAAGAAAACAAATATCTCAATTTTAGAAAAAATTAAGCCAAGCTTCTCCTTAGAGTCAAGAATCTTAAAACAAAAATTGACCTACTTTGGACATGTGATGCGTAAAGAAGTTACCATAGAGAAGACTATTATGCTGGGAAAAATGGAAGGTAGAAGGAAGAGGGGAAGGCAACGGATAAGATGGATAGAAGAAATAGAAAAAGTCACAGAAATGAAGCTGGAGGAGCTAAGAGAAACAACAAGGAAAAGATCAAGATGGAGAAGACTTGTCCATGAAGTCACCAGGAGTCGACAACGACTCGATGGAACTTAACAACAACAAACAGTCGACCCCCTATAAGACGGTAGATACGTTCCATTCTTTATGAATCGATTTCTTACGAGTCCTTGCCAATCACAGCCCGACACGTGTGAAGTTTACGGACTACGGCTGTTTAAAAGGTTTTCTTCCATAAAATTATTCGATTCTAGACTAATCCGACTCAACATTTTCAAAATACGTATATTTTTTGGGGAAATAATCCGTATAAACTACGCTATAAACAAAAAATTGTAGGATTACTTACCAAGTGTGCACCATTCGACATCGACTTTGCTCAAGCTTGTTTTCGTCGCAGAGCAGCGCACCAAACGGCGGCCGCGATTTCTGATATGCTATTTTTTTGCGAAAAATTCGTTGAACTTTGGAGACGTCATTAATTAATAGAAATAATTTTTATGGCCGTTGAATAAGAACTGTTTTTTTTTTCACAAGAAATGTATAAAAATACAGTACTGTATTAGACTTAGGGTACCTAATTTACATACTGTACAGACGATAGTAAACAACTTACTCGCCTAAACTCTCCGTAGCATGGCGCTAGACGGCAGAAAATATATATATATAATTATAATACAGTTACAATAAATTAAGTTAATATATAATTATATATACAGTAGCTAATTTATATATAATACTGTACAGACGATAGAAATCTCTCCGTAGCGTGGCGCTTGACGGCAGAAAGTAGTT